TGTTCTAGCCTATTTCCAACAGACACAATATATATATATATATGTATATAGGATGAAATGTATAAAGTACACCCTTGTAAAGTACATCATCGTTCTACGTTTCATCAGAGAGTGACGATAACGGCTCAAACTTTGAAGATGTGCACAAAGAGAAGAAACGAGAGAGAGAAATAGAGAAAATGTCGACGTTAAAGAATGCGACAAGGATCTCTCTCTCAAATGTGCGAAAAGTTCCTTACTCCGTATATATTTGGTATAAATATGAAAGCGTTGAGAGAGAGACAGAGAGAGAGAGAGAGAGAGAGATAGGAACCTAGATAGGATTCGTTTTAGCTGAATTCGTTTGAAATTTATTTCAATTTCGTTTATAAGAAGTTCTTCCTTATTCTTTTTTTAAAGTTTTTTTTTAGAAAAATGTTTTCTTTATCGTTTGCAACTAGGAATAATAAAATACGACAATTATTATTTCATATTGGAAACACGAATAATGGATAAACGTAAGAGTATAAAAACACTTTTGGGGATTTCTCTAGAGAATCGTTCGATTTGTATTACGTGTATATTTTAGTAAAATAGTTCTTTCGAAGTAAGTAAGTAAAGAAGATATTTTGGCGTTTTACCCATTTAAATCCCTGACCCCTTCTTATATAAAGAAGAAAGTAGCATTTTTCCAGCAAACGTGGCATTTCTCGTCGGCAATTCGAAGAAAATCCTCCCACCCCCACTTAAAAGCCATAAACGCGGTAAGAAAAGTTTTCACCTTTATTCTGATCGCTATAACAACTACCACCCCCCTTTAGCAAACGGATATCTTTTCTCGATTCTTGCACGGAAGAACTTGGTGAATATCTTTGAAAAAAAAGAATCGTGAAAACGTTCAACGTTACGAAAATTTAGTTCCGCTGATCCACAATAATCCGACGAACTATACCTCTCTCTCTCTCTCTCTCTCTCTCTCTCTCATGAGTTTTATTTCGCAAAAAAAAGAAAAAAGCAAAGAAGATGAAGATTTCCTTAATCCACACGAGGTGGTAGTTGCGGGGGTAAAAAAAAACAATCAATAAGATTAACTATTATATTATATCCGACTGGTGATTTTTCATAACGATAGTTTTCTCACACAAACGATTAATCGTCGAGAGTAATCCGAGTTATATCGATGCTGTACCTATTTCTCTTACTTTTATACTTTTTATTTAGTCAATCCTGTATAAAAAAAAAACCAAAGCACTGACCCCTTCCGACATTTATTCGACAAAAATATCACCTTTCGATATGATCGATCTATCATGACGATCGTTTATTAATATAATCCTTCTGAACGATCAAATTACGAGATAAAAAAAATAATAATTCGATTCATTATCGGTTAAGCGAAGAATCTATGAACCGTACAGATCTATTTCATTTCTGATAGATCAATAAGACAATTAATTCGGTTAAGAAAGAAGTGACGTGTAAGAATTGGAAAACAAAATTGGACAACAAAATTATACATGTATACAGAAACGAAAAAATAAGAGTAGTAGTAAGGGGAAAGAAAGGGTGGATATTTTGAGTCTTTTGGAAAAATACATAGTCGTAGTAAAACAAAAAAAAAGCGAGATTCTAAAGACCGCAAAGGATCGGAGACGATGAAGGAGCATCAGCACTAGCATCAGCACCAACATCAGCACCAGCATCAGGGGGCGATTTTCCAATTTCCAATAACGAGAAACTCGACTCTCTCTTTCTCTCTCGTTAGCTCGGATTTCGAACCATAACCTTTCAGAGCTTTACAACACACCGATATGTATCTGGTGTTGAGACGCGATCGAATACACGTATGTGTAGTATACCTTGATCTATTATATCAAAAGTTTCCCAAAAAATTGCACCTTGTTCTATTCGAGGTGCATAAAATTTCTAATTGCTGTTACCACCATCAAAAAGTTGAAGAAAAAACTATTGAAATATCTTGTTAAGTAAATTAATCGTGTTCATAGTAATCTATCTTTAGAATAGAACGTGCGTGTATTATATTTGTTGTTTATCAATGATCAAAGAGTGGAATGGATGATTGTTAATTTTGAAAGGCATCACCGTTTCCTGGTTGGCATTTCTTGAAAGGATAGAAAGCCTAGAGGCATCATCGAAACACGTTCATGCGTAAAACGTAAAGGCAACAATGCTTTACAGCTATTCCGAAATTATAACAACACCGTGCAAAAGGCGGGAATGGGTCCGGGGTTGTTGGAACGCCGAGCAAAGAGAATAGAAAAATAGAAAGAAAAAGAACAACAAAAAAAAAAGACTCGGCACCGTCGTCTCGCGTGTTTTGTGGGGGAGGTGGGTGGTGGTGGTGGTTCGTTTGTTATGCTTGTCGATTCGTCTAGTTAGAAAAAAAAAACTTTTCGAAGCAGCAAAAATTCATTCACTGTCAAAACGACGTGAGGCGAATGAATGCTCACGGTGTGGGTTTTTTTTTTTACGTTCTTTTAACTGATTAACTCTGACAATGAGCAGTCGAGTTAGATGTTAAGAAAATTCAGGTCGTTTCATTTATTATCCACCGTTGCAAAATACTGTATCTAAATTTAACAATTATTAATTATTAGATCAAGTTCTATATAATACGCAGATTACCTATAAGTAATCGTAAATAGAAATAGATGAATCAATTGAAAACAAAAAAAAGTATAATAGATCAAGTAGAAGGAAGATGTCCTGGTGTTGGTACGTACCCTACCCTACCCTACCCTGGTAGGATGTTAGGTAGGGTACGTTTCTCTGGTACGACGGTGACAGCAGAACGTAGGAGTGTTCGGACGTGGATGGAATTGCAAGAGGATTCGCAAGAGGATTCGCAAGAGCATAGTCCGACCCTTTCCATTTATATTCCATTCGCCGAGAGGTCGCTATGCGAAAGAGAGAGAGAGAGAGAGTATATTTGCGAAGGATCCCACCGTTCCCCTCTTTCTTCGCGTTGCACACATCCTGTCATCCTTATGCGCGCGTATACCATACGTTTTCTCTTGCAATTCTATCTCTCTAAAGTCCAACGTCAAACAACGAAGAAGTTGTCTAACGCGTATTACGACGACGAGGATGATGTCATGCGATTTCGTACAACACGCGATCTTCCACATCCATTTAGTGTTATAGAATTTTTGATTTGCCCCACTTAAGAAAAGCGTTCAATGATTAAACCTTATCAGTCGTAATTACAAACCCTGATGCAACCATGACAATCAAGAAGGGTTCGAATTCAGATATTTTCTCGGGGGATGAATTTCGTCAATGTATACGGTTATATCGTTTTCTCATTTATCTTTGAACGTATGATTAAAAGTACACTTGTACATGTATATATAATAATTATATGAGTGGTCAAGTATTGATAATAGTAGTAGTAATAGTCGCTGCAATGTTTCGCAAAGTTTCCAAACGAATCCTATTTCGCGCGACATCATTACTAAATGATTATATCTCGAGTTACGCTAAATTGCTAATTAAAATCAATGAACACGATGTAAAATACACAATAAATTGTAACTACGTCATACGGTCATTTTACGTAGGTTTGCACCCGTTGAATTTCCAATCCCGATAATAGACATTTTACGATCACCATACTCTTGTCAATATTTTAAATTCCTACACACAGTTATTTCAAACAAAAAGAAAAGAAAGAAAAAGAAAATTCATGAATATTTAACTTAGTACATAATTAAAGCTCATTTGATCGAGCGTGTTCCGTTAAATACAAAATATTTCATTGCGTTCCATAAATGGTATCGTATAAACGCTTGTGAGAGTTGATTTGATCGATAATAATTGTTCAACGAGTTTAACACAACGAGTGGTCAGTTCACAGTTACTCATTTTAAGAAAAAAATAAATGAAATTATTGTCCTAACGTATGAATAAGAATTTTGAAAAATTTCACGAAACGAAACGAAACCAAAGATCGAACTAACGAATTTTGTGTTCGTTGAATGGAAAAAAAAAATAAAATATAGAAAAATGGATCGTGAGAAAGGTGTTTGCATCTGGTTCTCGATAAAAGGTTTGTATTTTCCAATAAAATTTCAATTGAGAAAGTTATACTACGCGACACCTAACAAAGTCGTGTTACTACACCTGGCATACTGAGAAACATTGATCCGTTATAAACAGCGCCTGTTGCTATAGAATCCTGTTTCGTAATTCTAATTCCATTTTCTTTCCACCAAAATATAGGCAAACGACTGTTATTAAGCTAGCTAACTAAAAAGAAAGATCAAGGACTTTCAACAACAGTCTAACAGTCTTCGTTAGCAAATTTCATTTTGCTTCGTTAGAAGAATTTTATAACTCGTTGTATAATGATAAAGTTTCTCGTTTGAATTTCTAGGCTTGAAAACAAGCAAGTAACAGGAAATTCGACTCTTTGAAATGAACTTTTATCTCTCTTTGAAAAACTTTCCTAAAGAAACTTTCCATATTTTTGATAAGTTAAGCCTTGTTTGCAGTTTTTCAATTGAAAAACGATTGAAACTATTAAGATCTTTGCCAGCTAGATCAAATTTGATCAACTAAATATAATGTTAGAATTCATTGATAGAGAAAAAAGTTAAAATAGAAAAAATAAATTGATTTCTACAAAAAGAAAATGTGTGCAAGATTTGCGAACAATATAATCCGTCTTTGTAAACACGGCTAGATTTCTATCAAGTAGAAATTTAGCAAATATTAAACATGACGCAACGTAGAGAAAATTTCTACTAATTAGAATCTATGTATGGGATAAAGCTTAGATCGTATAAAGTCGAGTAATAGACGTAGAGTAAACGGCAACTTTCCTCTACCCCAGCTGTTAATTATAAATTTATTATTAATCCTCTAGACGACGTTATGTGTCGGACTTATAACGCGTATCGTACACGTATTAAATTATTATGTAATAACGCGTGTGTGTGTACAGATATAATAAGATATTTTTGCAAAGAAAAATTTTCAATCGAAAATAAAAAAACAAATCAACGTTTTCTAGGCTTGTAATTTCTCGGTTTTGCGAGCTTTTTCAATCGTCTCGAACATTTTGCTTTCAAAGCTGCTGGTGAAACTGTAAAGGCGTCTTCCCTGAGATCAGTTTCCATTCCTGCAGGACGTTTCGATGGTTTGGCCAGAAATATCGTCCTCGAGGAAGCTACAAAATTAAGAAACATGCATTATGTTGCTTTTAAAAGGCACCCCACTCCCACATCGCTAGACAAATGACTCGAAATAAAATGAATTCAATGGTCGATGTTACAAAGACGACTACGACAAATAAAAGAGAGTTACTACGACGACGAGGACGACGAATAGGACAAGAAATGGGACGAGAAATGAGACCACGAATGGGACGACGACGGTATCGTTCTCGGCCAATAGAAAAAGGTAAGTTTAATCAGGCGTACCTTGTGTTAGAGCAAAAAAAAGAAAAAGAAGAAGGTGTAAGGAAACTAATAACCGTGAAATTGCTTCGAGCTTGAACGGGGTTGTACTTTTCTTAACACGTTCCATGTATGCTATGGCAATTTTTGAAGATTTTCTATTCAAGCCGCGTGGGGTATATACGAACCATACTTTAAAGATTACAAAAAGTTGTTTATAATTTTTGGAGAATTTCAAGTGGGGATGGGTGGTATACGGGCCACACACAGCACGGGGAAAATAATTTTTGGTTTTTTTGCGAACGTGACGATTATATCCGTATATACAATATAATAGTACTGCAATATAGTTAATACGATCGATATAATAACTTTCTCAACTCGGATTTAATAATATGACGTAGCAAAATATGTGTTATAGCGTGAAAATACCTTATCGCGTTATTAAATGAATTCCATCGAGCTACTACACGGGTTTTTATTCTTCGTAGATGCGATTTCAATTTTATCTTTTGCTAGATTATAAAATTTATTTTTTCAGATGGAATCTCGGATAAAGATCGTAAAATACTTAATAAAAAAATGACGAAACTCTTTGCGGCAACGTTCTTGTACTTTATGTCTCTATGAAAAAAAAAAATGGCACGAGCTTGACCGTGTGTACCGAAATAACTCGGCTTTGTCAATAGGGGAATTTCGTTTTTACTCTTTGGGTGGATATCCGACAAAAGTGTTTAAACCAATCCCTCAATTCGAATGAACCGAGGCTAAAATGAAGAAGACCTGACCCACATGCTGCTTGCCGTGTTCCAGAAAAACGTAGTCTTTTTCGACGATTGAACGCGTTTCGAGGTTGGTTAGAAAAAAAAGAAACATTCTTGACTTAGCCATTGGTCGAGTCCGAGTTAATAGAAAGAATGAAAAAAAGAAATTAAAAAGAAATATAATGAAACAGTGGTTCTTTTCAAGTTAACGAATTGACCAAAGTAAAAAAAAAACATTTTTTTTTCTTTTAAATATGAGATATACATATATGAAACACATATGCAATGTTACCAATTGCTTTCAAGGCTGCTCGTGAAACTGCTCCTGGTATTCTTGGCTTCATAACTTTAAATTCGGTCTTTGGATAGTATAGCCGCATGATACGGTCGGTGATCCTGTACTTCAGAGCGGATCGTGATACCTTAAAGGGATCTCTGTCAATAGGAATCTCTCTGATCACCGGCTCAGCTAAATTCTCTATTCGTCTCATGTTGAACGGCCTCCACCTCTTTCTCGGAACCTACAATTACGTATTAAATCTCTGTCGTTTGTTTTATCGGTGACACATTGATCGATAAATTTCATTATTTCATTTCAAAAACTATCGACTAAACTTTTATGAAGAATAATGAATCGTAATAAATGGGACTCATTGAGAATAAATAATCAATCGTACTCGAATTGGTGTTGTCCTCCCACTTATTATGATAAAAGAAAATTAGAAACAAATTTTGGTTACTTGATAAAAATGTTAATTACAAAGGGTTTTGGCTTGCGATAAATTTTTGGGGTTGCCAGTTTCTGTATGATCATTCTGTGTCTTTCCCAATCGTGATCCCTCGGAGGTGGCTTACGAAACTCGAAAATACGCTGCTCTAGAACGCTGAAATCGAAAAGAGGATTTTGTATTCAAAGCAAATCCCCCGTGCTGCACATGCTTTCTCTTTTTATATGAGGCTACGAGAAAAAATCCTTATCCTACCTAACTAACTGACTATATCGAACATATGAAATATATTTTTGTGATCGCCATTAATATAATACAAAAAATACTAAAATAATAATAATAAAACTAGAAAGTTGTTTTCATCTTTTATCTTTGACGAGAGCATAGAAAGATTTGAAAAAAGGGAAGAATCAAAAAGGAAATGACGCAACTATTTTGCTATAGAAAAGTAGAAAATGATAAGAAGAGAAAGGTAAAAGCCAAAGAAAGGGAGTAACTCGTTTTACACCGTTTCAAAGAGTAAACTGAATGTACAAGTGTACATTTACGTATAATGTGTATCAGATATATGACGTGTCTTTATATAAAGGTATATACTAAGTATATGTAGGTTATATATAAAGTATATATGGTGTATATAGAGTATGTGTAGGTACGAATGTCGAATAAGAGGTTACTCAGAAATCTAAATCCGACTTTATACGGGACTACTCTATCGCGAGTGGCAAGTGTTCGAAGGACAATCCGATTAGGTTCGTCCTCTCGTGAAATCGAGATCGACGTTGAGTTGGAAAGATGCTGCTGCGATTCATCGTTTTCCTTCTCGTTCTTCCCGTTTACGAGAACGTGTCCGATCACTTCGGACTTTCTTTTTCCACGGCCGAACGAAGGCAAAGTGGAAACTTGTGTGAAGTCTCTTACTACTACTACTATTACAACCTTTTCTTCTATCTCCTGGCAATGAAATACCCTTCGTTCGCATTACATCGTTCCAAGAATTCCTCTTCTTCTTTCTTTAACGAATAAATTTAGTTTGATTTGATGAGTGTTCATTCGAAAACGATCGATTCGACTTATCAACGACGAAAAAGTTCAAACGCGAATCCCTTCTTCTCGTCGACAAAAAAAGAAAACAAAAAAATCAATCAATGTTTTCTCACGAAACCGACTTATCGTTTTAATGGATTAAAGCCTCCCGAAATATTCAAAATGAGATATCGTAAATAGAAAATTTTCATATTTTTTTATCTTCAATGTTTATACGTACGTACATATACTTACATAGAGATATGTAAAACGCGCATACTTCGATTATATAAAAGTTTTTAGAATAGTGCTTTTGGGTGCAACTTGGTTGGCTCACGGATGAACGAAGCTGAAGATTTTTCACGGTTCCTTAGATCCCAAACGCGATTGGATTTTATTTCGCGTTTACTTTACAAACTCACACACAAGCATGCATATATATATATATATATTTTTATATATCGCGCCATGGTTTCTCTCAGTTGCCAGAAGGATTCTCCGTGAGAATAATGAGATAGAACGAGTATGGGAAACTAGGAGCATTTTAAATTCCAAGTACGAACCCACCGCTTTTTCGGCACAGCCAAATTCCGAATACGAGTAGTAGCCGTCGCTGCAAGTGTCTTTGGATGAACTCGTTGGTACGGTGCTGGATAATCTCTTCTGTATGAAAAATACATTTGATAAGGTAGTACCAGTAGGTATAAGAGCTTACCAGGTTTAGGTGGGATCAACTTTTAAAAAAAAAAAAGGAAAACGTTAAACGACGCCGCTTACAGAGCATCGTATTTCTTGGTTACGTATTTTGGTCTAGCCATTATCTTGATACGTTTAGAAGGTTTACACTTTAGTGCTGCACGAGATATAGCATTTGGATCAACCTAATTTATTAAATCGATCTAATTTTACATGGTTGTTTTGAGTTACAACGATGTTGATTTAAATTCTTTTTATTTACCACTATGTTCGCGTCCGGTCTACGAAGTCTTCTCCAATTTGGACGTGCCAATAATCTGGTGTGTTGTTTACGCGATAGATGAGCCATCGCGTATTTTATTCTTTCGGACACCATTTTTGCTAGGTTAATATTTTCTTTCTTTAGGGATTTAGGTATATTATTAGTACCGTTGAAGAGTGTATCGTCAATTTGAATTAATCCAATAATTGGATTATTTTTTCGTGTTATTTTTTCTTTTTGATACGTTTGTTATAAGCGTGAAAATCGATTTTGACTATTCATCGTTGTTAACCATATTAATTTTGACGAAAACACAACCATCCGCGGAATTTTGTCACGCGAGGAAACATAAACGCGGTGACGGGAGTGATAGTTTGTTTGCAAAGCTAGTTATTTACTCTAGCAATTTATTTACGATCGAAACAAAAATCAATAATCGTGGACCAAAAAAAAAAAAAATAAAGATACAATTTTGTAATATGCCCTGTTAACCTTATTCATTTTGACAGAAAACCACCGATCGGAATGTTGATGCATAAAGACATATAAACGGTTGGGATGTTCTACAATTTACAAACTCGATTCACGAGTAGAGTGGATTCTATACTCTCAATTTATTTACCATTAATAATAAAGAAAAAAAAGGTAAAACAATAATGAAGGATAAAAAATGACACATTCAACAATTTGCTTATTGATTAAACTCTGTTAACAATCCCTGTTTTCAATCGCCGTGCGGTACGCGTGACTGAAAATCGACTGCAATTTTTCAGAATTACGATTCCCCACCCTTCATATTGCTCGTTAAAAAATACAAGTCGAATCTAACGATCGAAAAATTAACGCGTGAGAGAAAGAACTAGCTCGTGTCGAGCTTTTAATCAATGATATATCATCGTTCGACGAAACAAATCGGATATTACTTGTACCAGTTGTATGTTCAATAACCTGTTGGTAGATTAGTCACAGCTTGTATACGACTGTTTTTCAAGTTTCATTCGTTAACTCCCGCAGGTGCAGCAACGATTGTATGCTATGGGTAAACATTTTTTTAAATATAACTTTTGACAAACATTTTATTTCATAATCCTACGGAATCGTGCGGATTGACGGCTTATTTTTGGTAATCCCTAACGAATAAATTTGACGACAACAAGAAAAGGAAAAAAAATCAGGTGTGCGCAAATAATTGTAGAGTTTATTTATTATAATATTAATTATAAAAATGAAAAAAATCAAATAAAAGTAAGTAGGACGAATGTAAAAAATTTCTTTGCTTGATTCGGACGTTGAACAAAACTTTTTACCGAGACGATGAATGTCTTTAGGGACGTTCGTTTAGTTTTATTCGTTTTTCAGTTGGCTACGAATACGATTCACTCAAGTATATATCTCTCTCTCTCTCTCTCTCTCTCTCTCTCTCTCTCTCTTTGGAACAAATGTACACACCTCCTTGTCACTGACTCCTTATCCTTTTTGATTCTTTTTCTTCGTTTTCATCGTTGTCGTAGCTTTTCTCTCTCAGTATCAATCCCGCATGGGAAATCTCAAATAAGAGTCCTGTTTACCTGGCACTTGAAATCCCGAAGGATATCGATGATAAGATTTTACCGCGTTCGTTTTCTCCTTCCACCTGAAACATCCTCTCTGACTTCGGTCCTCCTTGTCTCCCAGCTTTTCAACCTCCTTGGCGAAACAACTTGAAGAAACAACTATAGTTTATACCAGAGAGTTTAAGTACTCTTGTGGCTTTAACTCGATCATGTACCAGGTAATATGAACAGATTTACACGTTCAGTAGGTGACAACGACAATGACAACGACAACGACGATTAAACTCTGACGAAAATAGGGGATCTTCATTTAAGGATCTTCGAAAAGGTTAGTAGGATCGGTAAAACGCATTGGTGGTGCTATTAGATGAGTACAGGTTTCCCTAGATGAATAGAGACCCACTGGGTTTTCGAATTGTTTATATGTATGCGTGTATGTGTGTAGAAAACGCGGAACTACGACGATATACCCGCATTTCTAATTAAACTTTAATTACGGGTCAGAGGACGCGATGTTATTGGTTTCGGCAAAAGGAAATCTCGTTATTGGAGAGCACTCTTCCGGAAATCGTGTGGGTCGCCCATGTATGTTGGAAATTCCATGACTGACGATACAAAAAATTAATAAAAAAAAAAAAAAAAGAACAACGACAATAAAAATCAAAAGGAGAGGATGAAAATGGGAGGAGGTAGAGGGAGGAAAGAATAAAACAAAAAAATATATATATCCATCGTATGACCATTTTCGCGAGGCAAATTCCAAAGGATAGGGGTGGATGTTGGCGGAAAAGAGGAAGGGGAGTGACAGTGTCTGCAGAACATTGACATGGAAAATTCAGGAGACGGTCATGGGAATTGTCACTGGTCGGACTTTATCGGATTTCTCTAGGTGGAAGCTTTCGGCATTGGCACTGCGACAGAGAGAGTCTCTCCTATAGTAGTAGCTCCTATAGTCATCGTTTTCGCGATCACTTTTCCTTCCATTTCTACTAAAAGAAACTACCAAGAATGAAAGATAAAAAAAAAAAAAAGAAAGAAAGAAAGAAAGAAAAAGATAGTCTGAAATTATTTATTCACGAGACAGGAAGAATCCCGAACGAGAATTTCTTTTATTTTTCTCTCTTATTTATTCTTAAAATTACGATTCTCGTTTCTACTTTTATCTACTAGTCTTCATGCTGGTGGGTGGTGGAAGGGTGAAAGGAGGGACCCAAGAGTTAAGTTATGTTCTAAGATGAAAACAAAAAAGTAAAAAGGCTAGAAAAGTAAGGAAGAAGTAAAAAAGTAAACGAGAGGAAAGAGAATAAAAAGAACAGGAAATTAAGAAAAGTATGGGGGCAATGGATTTTGTTAGAAAGAAAGGCGAACAGGGGCCAATGTTGTATCGTAGTCGTCATCGTTGGTACATATTCATGTTCTTACCACCTGGCAAAAGTCTACCAACCGTTTTTTACTTTATTTTGGTCTCCCGTTCATCCCCGTCTTTTTTTTCTCATCGTTGAGACTTTTTAAACGGTCACGGTGGGAGGAAAAATAAAAAAGAGGCGTTTGAAATAACACCATCCAAACTTTAATATCTAAAAGTCCTCTGGGTTTTTTTTTCTCCCCTTTTCCTTTTTACTCGTCTTTCTCTGTTCTTTCATCATTCCCCACATCTATATTGACCTATTTCATACTCTCTTTATCGTCATACTTATTGAATTAACTCCCATTTCAATGAAAATTTCTCTCAAAGAATCCTTTCCAATGTGTTTTTCAACCTTTTACGTTTCTTCTTCTTCTTCTTCTTCTTCTTCTCTTGGTATGAACCTTTTTAAACGTAAAAAACACTCGATTAAACTTTCACGCGAGATAACAATTCGTTAAACGCTATAATGCTTTTCTACTTCTAGAAAAATAAGAATGATGACTAAGGTTTGTTTTAAACTGTCATGATTGATCGTTTAATCGTTCTTGAAGTGCAATCAAAAGAAAAAAAAAAAAAAGACCTCCAACGACTTATCTTTGTAATTGCTTATGATCTTCGTACACACATACACGTACACACCTTTTTAATACTTACGGGAAACGAAAATACACAGAGACTCGGAAAGTTACGTTTTAGAGAAGATAGACATTAGGTTTCTTCCACGCTCTTAGCAATTTCTTTCTCTCACATCGATTTCACCTCTATCTCGCACCCTTTTCCAACACCCTTCCCCCTCCCCGGCATACTTCTCACGATCTTTCACGTCTCGGAGAGCAACCCATCCACCCACAAGCCTCCAACCGAAGGATATTAACTCTGAAAAATAGATCTTCCGATAAAAGGATTCAAGCGAATAATATTTTTCTTCCATCTGGACTTAGCGAGCCGCCACTTCTCGACGTCTCGGGTTAAATAGGAGGCGGAGAAAGAAAAGGAAGTAGAAAAAGAAGGAGGAGGAGGAAGAGGAGGAGACAACGGGGGTTGAAAAGACAGAGAAATAGACGGATAGATGGATAGAGAGATAGATAGCTAGATAGCTAGATAGATAGGAATGAGTAAAAAAGTAGAAAACAAAAAGAACTCTCTTACATCCGCCCTCGTCTATGTGTGTGGGTGTATACATATATATTTTCTTTTCTACTTCTTTTTCTTCTTCTTCTTCTTTTTCTTTTTCTAACAATTAGTACCTCAATTGTTTTTCTTTTTTACTGACGATTTAATGTCGAAAAGATCATAGAAGAAAAGTACTTCAAATAGAACGAGAGATGTTCCATTTGGAATAAAAACTAAATTAACTAACGTTTGAATTCGTTTACGAATCTACAGATAATTCTTTTATAATCACAAGAGAAAAGAGAGAGAGAGAGATTCCTAGAAAATGCAGTTTTAGGAGAGTTACACCTGTACTTGAAAAAAAGTGCAATATTGGAAAGTAAGAAATAAATTCGTGTCACGTTTAACAAATGAAATTGACGTTGAAATTAGTTCACGTTTAAACATGGTTACCGTGTATATAACGTTGGTTTAATTAAAATAATAAAAAAAGAAGTAGAAATTCCCTGTTAAGTTTGAATTCTCGCGAAGACTTTGGACTCCAACGAAATCCTTCCTCGGTAGTAAGTTGTAAGGTTCGAACTGTAGAAAAAGTTCGGCATGGAACCCCTTCGTCGTCGTCGGGATCAACGAGAAAGAAGATAGGAACGTAGTCCTAGAAAACTTATCTGGCATCTACGAGAAGAATCGAGAAAGGAAGAATTCTCGTATTTCTTCCTCCCCCCTTTTACCTTTTCCTTAGCTCGGCTCCATTTACATTGCTCACTTACTACTTTCAGCTACGTCGAAAAGGGATAATTTTCTTGCTTACCCGCGAGGAGAATTTTCATCCTTTATTATTTCATCGTAATTTTAACTGAAGGTACTCGTTAATTAGCTTTAACAACAATACCAATCATAATCAGTTTCTCAACTCTCCTACATTATATGTTCTTATGATATATATATATATATAAGTTAATGTACTGATGTTGAAGGTAATGGACCCTTTAAGGGATCATTTAAAATGTTTTTGAAAATCCAATAAGTGGTTTCTCCCCTTTAAATAAGAAAAAGAAAAAATATGAAAGAAAATAGCCATTTAGTTACTGCCAAGAATTGTTCTGTACTTGTTGGCAGATAAAGTAACCATCTCGGTTACTTTATCTGACAAAACTCTGGGAAACACACGGGTACCGGGGGTTCTCTGTTTAAAGCAAGGTAAAATTATATCAGGAAAATAAAGTAGAGAACAGGAGGCGCGAGTTTTCTGTAAACTTGGCCGATGCGAGAAAACGTGCCGGAAACCTGAGGTAACGAGCTGAGATAGCTACGCTTTTGGTCCAAAGTTTCCTCTTGAAATTGTCAACGTTTCTGTTGTTCCGTCCGTTAGCGTGTTTCTCCCTTTTGAGTTAAAACAGGGGTGGTGGTGGTTCTCAGAAAAGATAAGGCAACCCTCTTCCCCAACTTTTTCTTTATTCTTCTTCAATTCGTATTATTATAAACAATTACTCGATGCAACACACCCCGCGTGATGTTGTTTTTTTTTTTTTTTTATTTAATATCGATCAGTTCAAGATTGATTTGAAATTTATTTATCAGAAAATAATATCGCAATACTCGAATTCCAATGAATTTTTCATATGAACATGTTTCCGCTTTTACATCGAGATTCAAATAAACGCGAAAAATAATACGATAGTATCGATAATCTAATATTGTGCAATCCAAAAGATATTATATCATTTCCTATTGATCTACAGATGGAATTAAATAGAAATACATTTATATATTTATCGTTAGGAAATATAAAAATCGTTGAAAACTCGTACGATTTAATTTGGAATTCGCTCATTAAGGATAAATGAAGTTATTAAAACGCATATGAGCGTGTACGAATAATTCGTCAGTTCGTTCGTTCCTACATTCGTTCGTTGATCCAAGTATAATTGTCGTCTGCATCGACTATATACAACGTGTTACTCGCATCTAACAGAATAATTAAAACTCTCAAAACCTGTCCTAATGTAATGACCAACGAAGATAACTAAGATGGTTCACCCTTTCCCGATATTTTTGCAAATACACGAAAAGAGATTGGATTGTATGCTATAAAGATAAAAATTGATCAATATCGTAATGAGGTCAAAGTTCGATTAGCGAAAAGTGGGAGCTCCAAGGAACGATTCTATTAAAGTTTCAAACACACTTTAATTTCTTCCTTATTTGTTCTCTTTGAACAACAAGCATATAATCCCTTGCAAGATTAATTCAAGTATTCCTATGATGGTAAAATTTGAAGTACATTATCCTATTCTTTTTCACCTCCTTTTCTTACTTAGATGATAGTTTAAACTATCAAAAATTATGACTCATTAATCACTATATAAGATATGTTCATCCTCGTGTTTAAGGGTCGCGTTCAAATCCGTTTTCGTCCTTTCGAAAGATTATAGGTACAAATAATTTATTCATTTTGCAATGAATTCAACTTGTTGCTTGTAAAATATTTTCTTTTCAATACTCCAAATCATTGATATACTTCCCGATCTATTAAAAGATACCAATCTTTTTGAACGATAACAAAGTTGGCTAACAACAACCGATAACACGACATAATCAAGGACTAATATAAAACTATATTTTATTTTCGAATACAACAACGCAATCGAATTCTTGAAAATTCATACGAAATAATACGTCATTCCTGTAAGTATATCGAAAGATTTTCGAATAAATCCCTTGACTTAAAGCTCAGATAAAATATGATTTTATAAAAGAATACCTTGAGACATTTTCTACGAATTTTCGATTGATCGATATTGAAAATAGAAAATCGATCATTCTAGAAATCGTACAAACGCAATATGCCGAAAGAATAAGGAGAGCTGATAGTATTAGGCAATATTTGAAGTATGCCACATATCGACCACGAATATCTCTATAAATCGATTTATTTATCAGAAATTTTTTGATAAGCCTTTTAAACATATTGTCTACATGAGAAGTATAGTTTTTATCTATGAAAAATAATATTTTGTTCTTTAATTAATCAAAAGTTGTACATAAAAAACATTAGGATGCACGTAAAAAGGCTTGAAAGTTTTCTTCTTTTATTTTCCTTCCCTAAATGCATGAACAACCACAAAAAATTAGAATGAATCTTGAAGCATTGCATTTGTGCACGTATAAGGGATAACTTTTGACATCAATTAATTTGATCAAAGATTATTTTCAAATACTTTATACTACAGTTCGTTGAATTTGGAAGAATAATCGTTATCTCGGAAATCAACCTTTTTTGTCAAACGAGTTTAAACGATTCGTCATACTCTAAGCTATGAATGGTGACGTAGTTTAGCACGATTCATCAATTATCGTCTTATTCATAAGGATGGTTAAAGTACATGGGCTCTTAACAATAGTCATGACTTCATACGTTTGATAAATATATTATATATTCAATAGGTATTTAAAACTATATAATTATTCGCGAGTTGTATATAATTAATTTTTATTCCTTTTCTTTTATTGCAATAATTATATAATTCTAATGTAATAGAATTTATTCTTCAATTTTTGTCTTTCTTTTTTCAGATCACATGAATAATAAAGGGACATAAGGAAAGAAATGTAATCGAATTTAACATAAGAAGGATCTATGGCAAATCATTAATTTCGTATTAATCATTTCGATGTAAAATATATTATTCCGATAGATATTTTGTCGTATTTCTGAAAATCGATGAAATTTTAATTGTAACCTTTGGGCTTATTAAAAAAAAAAAGAAAAAAAAAAGAAAAAGAAAAAATGCCAAAGTCTGTAATGATAAAATTAAAATCAGATTAGATAAAAAAAATATATATGAGATATAAAATGTGTGAAAAAAAAATGATAAGAGGGTTGGGGGACACGGTTATATAAGTAACTTTTTTCTCTTGATATTACCAGTTAACGATCAATTAAGCTCAAAGAACAAATACAGAGGGAAAAATATATATCAACGTTCGGTTCTCATCATGAAAGGCAAGTTACTGAAGAAACTTAACGCTTAATTAAATTATCGTATATATTCGCGAAGCTATTTCTTTTTTAATTTGATTAATCAATATTAGTAGAAAAAAGGGCAAACAATAATTATTATTTATATGAATCATTTGAACAGGTGGGCTTTTAGCAACAGTCGCATTCGCGGCTACCCTGGTTACGGTGTTTGCCGTTGATACACCAATTCTTCCGATCCCAACGAGATGCCCGGATGTAGATTCAGATGATGCCACGGTACATATAAGACACGAAACCGATTGCACTAAATTTTATAAATGTCTGGACGGAGAAAAGATTTTGATGGATTGTCCGTATATGAACAAAGCTAAAACACGAAGATTACACTTCAATGCTTTGTACCAAGTTTGCGACTTCCCATCAAAAGCAAATTGTACCACTGCATCGCAAGTAAGTAAGTCAACGCCATCGGGAACGGTTTCTTGGGATCCATCATGGACTTGCTCGAATACACCCGTGGGCACCAATTTGCCACACGAAACGCGTTGCTACTTGTTCTACCAGTGTACAGCTAACGGAAAACAACTTCAAGAATGTCCCGAAGGAAAATATTTCAACCCGTACAGTCAAGTGTGCGATAATTCGGACAGATGTCCAATCACGACTGTTTGCAAAAATTACAAGGGTTCCGAGGGCAAATTCTTCCCAGATCCAGTCTCATGCAAAAATGTCTATTATTGCAAGGGCTTCAAGACCGCTGTATACACCTGCGACGAAGAAGCAGAATGGAGCGTACAATTTGGCAAATGCATGTCAATCAATGAAGCTAATTGTTCGCGAAAACTTGCCTATTACAACCAGTAATTAATTCATTCAAGAAGATACATTCGTCTAACTTATACATCTTAGTATAAGGCATAATCTATATTTAATATATTATTCGTAATAATTCGCATAACTTATTAAAAACGTTTCGTATTCACTTTTCCCCGATTTAATACAATTATTTTAACGCTAAACTTATCACGCAGGGTCAAATAACCGCGTCCTGTAATTTGAAAAAAAATAAATAAATGTGCTAAAACACGCGAAAAATGTACATTATTCATTTATAAATAAAAGAAAATATATTACTTGCAAATCCTATTGGTTAAAATCTCATTCTATATTAATTTAATTAAGTTATATTTTTTTGTTAACCACTCACGGTAGGAATAGGTATACATGAAGACAGGTTTAGTATTAATTATATAATAATTATCGTCGCTGTCTTAAAATCAATTGTTAACTATTTGAAATTGATTTGAAATTTACGATCAAACAAAGAACTAATTTAATTAAACGCTAATTTAATAAAGTTATTCACTTTAATAGAAGGAAAGTGGAACTGTACAATTAAGAAATACGGATGATAATCTTATTTTGCGAAGGTACATGTATTTAAAAATCATTACACATTTCTAACATTCCAAGGCATTAGAGTGTTAAATAACTTACAAAGTAAAGGTATGTCAAAAGTAAATGATTAAATAAAGAAAAGATATTAAATGAAATTGATATTAAAATGTCCGAAGTTCTATTAATTCTTCAGATACTTTTAGTAAAATTAAATAATATATATTTATAACTACGACTGCACACAGAAATAATAATAATAATCAAAAGAAAAGAAAAATCATGAAGATTAAATTAAACGTGAAACTTTTGCGATACCTTCACTGAACGATACCATTATTATTCGCAAAGAATGTTTGCTAAAAAATAAATTATTATAATAAGAATTTAAACGCTATCAGCCCTAAAGCATATTTTAATAATTTATGTACAGATTCCTTATTGTATAGTATATTTTTGTTGTTTAACGCGAATTACGTTTCTGTACATGCGTTATGATTATTATACCCTACTGAAAGGGAATTACGTAAGTTACGCTTATAATTATCAATAATATTGTGTAATTATTCATTTTACATATTATTTATATCAGTTTGTGCTATTACCAAAATGATCATAGTTCAATAATTCATTAATAAATGTTTTATACCAATCCTATGTTACGGAACTTTTACTTTCCATTGTTTTCAATATTACAGGTAAAATAATTATTTTCTTGTATATACAATAGCAGAGCAACAATTAACATGAAATTTCAATATCAATTTTGGGAATAACCGCCAAAAGTGTCTCATCCTTATTTCTATTCAAAATTAACTGGTTATCTAATGCATACGTATGTAAATGTAAATATAACGATATAAGCATATATGCACGTAATCTCATATGTGTACATAATGTGCAGTTGGTTCCCGTTTCTCACAGTATCATAGATATCAACTGTTAAAAAATATTACCTCGTATATACAATTTTTCTTATGTTAAAATATTCCTTTCAATCCATAGAAGAGATGAGACTTCTTTGAATTGAAATCAACATTTAAGCAATAAAAGCTGAACATGTGAGGCATTGTTTTTCAACTGTCGATATGTGTATCAGCAGAATTTACATTATTATTTATTGTATCACATAGGAAGTTTTAATTTATTTACAATAACATATTTTATTCTTTACCTACAATTTAAATATACATATGTATATGTATATATGTATATGTATATAGTTAGATAGAGCAATGGGAACATTTCTCCTGCTTAATTTTTCTATATTACAAAGTATGAAATTAAAGTATAATTAATTCTAATGAATAATAATAATAATAATAGTAATAGTAGTAGTAGTAGTAGTAGTAGTAGTAGTAGTAATAGTAATAATAATAATAATTATTACTATGAGAGTCTTTTTTTTATACGTATAATGAAACAGATCTAAAAGCAATCCAAATTAACAATAAAATTTTACCGAATTCATTTAACATGCAAATAAAAATGACAAAAAAAAAGTTAATATAGAATTGTTGAATATATTTTACTTAGCCTAATATTCACAATTGTAGTCATATTTCAGTCTGGATTATCTCTATAAACGAAAAGATCTCTATCGCTTTAAATCTAAACCTATCTTAATTTACATTCTTTCAAACTAATTAAAACTAATTACTTATGAACGTGATGTCCGATTCAAGTAAATCATTAATTTAATCGTACTAAAGTATGAATCGAAAGGTTTATGCGATTCTTATAAATTTGATATAATTAAAAAGAAAACAAAAATACCACGCTACAATATGATATAATATAATAATAAGAAAGAAAATGAGAAAGAATAAATATTAGTTATAATATTCTAATTAATTATAAAAACTAATACGATGAAAAATGTATCCTTGATCTTTCCAAACTTATTCTTACTTTGACTATGATTTTACAATTTTTTCTTTAGTTTATTTAGTTTTATTATGTATCAAGAAATAAACTATCTTTTACAGAATAGTTTAATTGATACACGGTATTATAATGTTTAGCTTCTTGCCATCACCTTAAGGGTTCGGATTGTATGACGGATAGAAAAACAAGAATTTGCAATCGTGTCGCTACGTGACTCATGATAAGTAATATATAAGACATACATACACATATATGCATGTATATTTTATATAAGTATGTATATATATACATATACGTGTAACAAGCACGTGTTTTGTATGCAGTACTAGGTTCACTTCATGACCACAGAATTTATTCTCAAGCTATTTCACGGAAAATGTCTGCATATAAAATGATGACATTTCACTCTTCCAAACTGCAAACAATATAGTTAATAGGTTTATAAGATATCACCATTCTTAGTGAATTTATCTTGCTTGATATCATGGGCAATACGCACATGTTTGAAAATATTGTGTAATTTACAATTTAATAATTAACTTACAGCGTATAAAATAATACCTGTGTGGCTGTACTTTTGTATATGTGTTTTATACATTAAAATCTAAATATCTGTATACAATTGCGTAAAATAATACAAGATAATGTTTATATGAAGAAAGATTTGAAAATTTGTAAAATAAAATTAATTCAAAGTCAAATATACCTGTCAAAATTCAAAGATATTAATTATGTCGGTAGAATTGACCGTCACTTTTCATTAGTAGTGCATGATACATCTAAACAAAAATAGAGAAAGAAAGAAAAAGAGAGAGAGAGAAATGAAAATGTTTAAATAGATTAGATATTAAGATATAGACGAGTCTGTTAGGTAAATCGTATTAAATGTGATGTGTTGATGATATTTGTGATGTACTCTCTTAACATTTAAATTAATATAAAATTCGCTAAGGAATATTATAAATAAAAAATTGATAAGAGATGACTAAAAGAAAGCATCGTGTTATGACTGTCAGGTACTTTCTATAAATTGGCTTTTTTAGCTGCTTTAACCAAATAGCTGTTTATCTTCTATTCACATGTATTATTAATATCACATACAAGTATACTTTAAAGCTCCTACACGGATGTTCTGTAACCAAGTGTGTAAATGTTGCACTTTGTCAATCCATTTCCAATATTTTCTAACATCCATATTGCTAATATTCATCTGTGGTAACATGAAAGAAATTATGTATGCATAACAGGCAATCTTTCGCGTCAGTTTAGGAGTTCAATTCGAAGACCACGATATGTCTGAATGATTCTAAACTGTTTTTTCCGGCTTTCCTCATGCCATAGAAATTGTAACATTAATTCCTAGGTTTCCATTATCCGCAAAAAAATTAGCAACAGACGTATCAAATACAAGGCAGTCGGAATTTAAAATAGCAGACGAGACCCCTTCATGTATAGAACGCGGCATTGCTTCCCACGTAAGGCGTCTTTTATGTCCATTTAATTCTAGCCTATTGAAAATCATGCACATTGATATAACTAACTATACGTTTAATAATTATATTTATTTAGAATGATAAGAAAATGAAAGTAAATTTTACCTGTAAGCAAAGTTTTCTGCTTGCTTTCTCGAACCAATCAATTGAACAATTGCAAAAAATTGTTGATGACCGTCATATTTTTCCTGCTTTTCCAGTACCAACATGAAATGATGACCGTAACATGATTGCATCATTACCCAATCCACAGCTCCCGGAAGATTTATATCAGTTGCCAGAAAAACTATGTCTTCTCCTAAGAGATAAATCGCGATGGAAAATAATAACTAACGTTATTACATATTATACAAATGTAATAATAGGACGCATACCTTGAAGTGTAGTAATGCTTTTATGACTCGTAACAAGATGCGGCATAACTTGTTCGAGAGATCCTTGCCATTTACAAGATGCACCAGGGCAAGGACAACTATATGGACGGAATTCGCACACATCCTCGTGATCTGGTTTTTCGGTATGCATCAAAGATACCGTGCATCCGCTAATAGAGTATTTGCAAGGAAACATTACATTACTTGCTACCTTTTCCATAGCCAGATTGCGAATATTACCTAATTTAAAGGAAAACAAATACGATAAATGATACATTCAAAACTATTTATTCAGCATTTTTGTCAGCTTTTCTTTGTCAAGAACTACTCTAATCGTGTTTAATTAAATGAATAACGAACGTTTCCAAACGATTAATACAAACTTATTTTGCTTAGATAATAGGAAAAAAGAGAGAAGAAAAATAAGAAAGATAAGATTAAAACTTTGTGTATATTGCACGCCGTATTAGATAATTGTTTTAGCATTAGATTAAGAGCATATGAATATACATTAGACGTACCTAATGGGCCTCTACAAGTAGGGCAACAGGTAAGTTTTGGTCGACAATTACTACAAACGAGATGTCCACTTTGACACTGCAAGATAGGTGGTAGTACATAATCGAAACAAACAGGACATTCGAATAGGCTAGCTAAATCAGTTGAACTGGTTAAAGCTGATACGGATGAAGCTGAGGTACTGGCAACACCCCTTCCTTTTTTTCCTGTACTTATATTTAATTGTGACATCTTCTTTTTCTCCTAGGTTAAGTACCAAGGTAAACAGTTTGATAACACAAATACAATAGTTTTTCAATATCAATGTCTTCGTTCAGATTTGATACAATCTCCTGGCATTTATCAACTCCATATCTGGAACTTAATTAGTTATTATTTCATATTATTACATTATAAAGCAATATTTTTGTATACAACGTTACTTAAATATCTCCATCATATTCAAACAAAAAAACTACGTATTCAAAATCCAATAAAATACAACAACAACAACAAGAAAAAATACTAAATAAATTAATCTCGATTGACATTAAAATGCATAATAGATCTTTGATGAACGTACTAATCGTATAACACAATATTTACTTCATTATATAATATTGGTCTCTTATTCGCGATAATACTATCATTGGAAATATTAATCAAAAGTATAAAAAAACGAATGCAAATTTGTAGGCTATGAAGATAGATGAAGCGCAACAAACCAACCCTGCGTTAATTTTATTCGTGTTCAATAAATTCATTGTCACCGGTATAACCATCAAATTCTCACTATGTTAAGTGAGAGTATTTTTCAACGTATAATGTTTCTCATGTGACGAGCCAATTCCATTTACGGCTGATTATTCGTAACACAAGAGTAAAGTTACGCATACACACACACACACACAAATAATACATACACATATAAACGAAAGAGGGAACAAATGCAAAAGTGTCGTAATAATATGTAGGCAAAAGTCAGTTGTCGTCCGTCCAACACATAAACAAGAGACACGGTGCAATGAACATGTATGATGACTTTAGCGGAAAATTCCACATGTAACGCTATTGGCAAATAGAAAATAAACGTGCTCAACTTACCGAGATTTAAATTGTAGACGAATTTTTGGGTCGTTGTTTGAAAAAAAAGCTTACTGCATGATCAGGATCGTGATATCAAAGTGTGAGAAATAGTACTTTGGAAAAATGAGAAAAATTTCGACGACGTTGACGACGACGACGACGACGACGACGACGACAACGACGATGATGTCGATGTCGATGTCGATGTCGACGANGACGACGACGACGACGCCGACGAAGACGACGACGACGACGACGACGACGACGACGACGTCGACGAGGAAGAATAGGATGAGAAACTAGACGACAACAGTGGTAACAACGACGACGATGACAACAACGGTTGTTGGTGTTGTAACGTCGGTGATATCGACTTCATGCGACCCCTCAACTCTGGAGCTTTTGCAGCAAACGCTTTCGATATCCTTCGGTACATCGATGGTATATAAACAAGCGTGTGGTTATATTTCGTCCGCGGGAGGCTACATGACAAAATCCCACGGCCGACGATTCAGCATAATCCGCTCTATTAATTGTACCAGTCCTATGTGAAACATAGTGTTGTAACAGCTCGCTTCTTATTCGTCGTACACCCTTAGGACACCTCCGTTCGATGTAATGCAAAGCGATGACACTGCAGCAGCTGCCTATCTGCCCTTGTGATTACACCCATGCAGCTGCCACTTTAATGTTTAATCCTAGTTCACATACCAGTTTTACTATACAGGAATATTTTTTAGTACGATTCTCGACGAATGAGAATTCGATTAGTAACTTCGGATCATTGGCTATTGGTGGACAAATATTCGTTCTTGAACGTGCAAACGCGTCATGAAATAACTACACTACATGACGAAAATATATCTAAAATATAGATCCTTACTCCGGATTGGTCTAATTCGAAAAATATAATCGACCAATCGCGCGTATTAACGGTATTATTAATTAGTTTCGTTATTTTAACGATCTTATTATATAGATTATTTAGCTACGGAGAGAAAGCTGTAATAATAAATATTTCTATGATTCTGTATATTTCTTATGTTATTATTAGAAACGTTTTATTTAGATCGGTGTGTTGTTCGATTAATAATAATAGATCGAAATTTGGTATCATGAATTGTTCTAGAAGAAAAAAAAAAAAACAACGCAAACTGAATATCAAATGTTTGATATTATCTGACAAAGGACAAAGTTAGAATTTTGCAATGTATCGAATATGAATGAATACATTTTTTTTAATAGTGATTGAAATGAATTTTGTTTTTGTTTACTTTTTTTTTAAGTAATAGGCATTTTATTTCTTGCTATAATTAAAATATACACTGTGTCATGGGTGAAACAGGCGAATATTAATTAATCGTAACAAAATATTATCATGTTATTTCCTTTAATTTCACACACTTTTTCTTTTTTTTTTTCTTATTTTTTTTTCTTTTTTTTATATATATATTTTTTTTTTCACACGCAGCAAAATAGTATACATAGTATACATATTGAATTTCAAAAGCATAATTGGTTTGGCTTAAAATCTCATATGTAAAAACCCAATCAATGGTACCATGATATATATATATATATTAGATTTAAGCCAAACCGTAGATACTTTTGTAACCATTGAATGTCTTTCTCGAATGTATTAAGCTTGGACAGCCTTGTAAACGACATAATTTCGATGTATTTAACGTAGTTTTGTTTGGTGCATTATTTAGTAATGCCTTTCTTTTTTCTTTCCCCTCTTAGTCGTTTTATAATTCTAAACGACGTTAATGAGTTGAATTTAGCGGTCAAAAAATTATACGAATAATAATAATACCAATTATCGAATTGTCTAGATTATTGTATCATATCGAATGATATACTACGTGTTTGAACAGTCTTTTCGCGATATAAAGAGCAGAAGTTTGTAATATCAAACGGTATAACTGCTACTCTCTCGATAGAAATGCGAAAGAAATGTCAATGTAGCCTAAATTGTTTCCTAACTTATAAATTGTTCTTCATTCATATTTCGTATTTAGAAACATTCTGTTACTCCAGTGTCTGTCTTAAACAAACTTTGCTTTTGCTTTACGCGCTTAGATGTAATGTTTTCGCCGTATTCGTGTGACTTTTACGACATAATGAGTACAAACGCGACGTCTAAACTATACTACAACATTATGTTATAATTAAAGAGAAGATCAAATACACTTATATACTTGTAGAAATGATCTATTGAAACTTCAATAGGTCGTTGATACATACATATATAAATATATATATATGTATATATGTATATACAATACGTATGTATGTATACATACATAATATATACACATACATATATATATATATATATATATACATATATACATAAAGCAAGTAATATATTTATGTTTGTTTTTTTTCCTTTTCTTTTCTTTTCTTAATGTTAAAGTTCCTTCAATGACAATTTTCATGATATACGAATTATTACATAGAAATATTATTCGTAATTTAACGTCGCGCAAGTATTCCTTATGTTTAATACCCAGGACGTTTATATTTTAATTATACATTTTTCAAATGTTTTAACTTAATTCCTATATCAGTATATATACTTAGGTTAACTTGCCTATGCACACATGTATGCACATATTAATAATTTCACATAAGTTACGAGATTTATCTTTAGTTTATAAACAATTACATATAATTGAGCATGGATATAGAATAATAATCTTACAAGGAAGAAATATGATTTAATGAGAGCAAATTTTTGGTCCATAATTGGCAATTTGCAATATAATAGAAACATATTTAATAAAAAAAACTTTCACACCACCGAGAAAAAGAAAAAAACAAATGCAAGCTATACAGAGTTCTTGTTTCATTTTTTAAGATAAAAATAACACCAAGCAAAGAATAAAGAGTATATCATAATGCAACCTAAAATTCTAAAGAGTGGTTATGGAAATAGCTATGGAATAGCCAAAGAAATAGAATTATTTAGTAGATGTATTATTAGTATGAGAGATGAGTAACAAGTAGATAATATGTCATTCAACCTCTGATTTTTTTCTAGGGACCTAAAAAATTTTTATAATTACGTGTCGAAACATAGATCATGAAAGATTATTTTTGTAAATATTTTTATTCAAATTTAGTAAAATTATAGTTGGCATTAATAGTTTTGCTTGTATTTAAGAAGATGCAAATTCTATTAATACTTGTTCATCTTTTATATTAGTTTTTTTATTTTTAATCCATAGATGGGGAGGCAAAATGTGCATTTTCTAGAAATTTTATCATCCGTATCATTTAAATTCTTAACATCATTTATCATTGCGCCAAACTAGTGAGAAAATTTTTTTCAACAAATTTACATAAAGGTATCTAATATTGTACAGACATGACGTACGAAATTATTGAAATTTAAGGGAGATGATTATCGGGCATTTATAATACCTTATTCCATCTGAGTTCCCTTGTTTCAGTCAGACTGCAATTAGATATTAACGGTAAACCTCCCTACTTAGCTCTTGTATTAAACTTGATCATAAACATGTAAAGATTGTGTATTTCTAATATGGTCGACGTTTAGTATGGTTGATGTCTTTGAAACTGACGAGGTCCTTGCCCATTACCTCGTGGTTTACCTTGAGCGGAATAACCCATATTTTCATAGCCATCGTAACAAGTGTAATCATAATTCCCATACATATCGTCATAGCCTCCTTGATATCCATTACAGTATTCCGGTATATAACCATAGCCACCAGCATATCCATAACTGTATCCTGGTCCCCAAAATCCTTGTGGTCTAAGATCTGGATTCGATTTAACCTTTTTAATGTCTACTTCCTTGCCATTTATTGTTTGTTTGGGAGTTTTTAGTAATTTATATACAACTTCTTTAGAATCAAATGTTATGAAACAGTAACCCTTCCGTTGATTTTTTACTTTATCAAATGGAGCCTGCAGTTCAACTATAGTCCCATATTGACTGAAGTATGACTTGATATCGTCGTCGGTAATTTCAGGAGTAAGACCGCCAACAAAAATCTTTCCATGTTGTTGTTTCGTGCTAACTCTTTTTGGATCAACCTTTGAAATAATATAAAAGCATATAAATTTTATCCATGTATTAGTATAATAAAGGATAGTATGAAAGATAATACATGATTCAGAAACAATCGAATATTTGGATAAAAGAACCAAGGAGAGTTCTTTCGAAGGTAGTAAAAATAGAAATAAATTATGGACTTCAAAAAAAATTACTACTCAATACTTTGAAATACTTTTAAATAGGTCGGGCGCGCGTCAAAAAGAATTATTTTTTATTATATAGCAAGCAGCACAGGCGGATGGAGAAACGGTTGAATAAACGGTTGAAGAAAGGAGGGAAAAAAAAATTCCCTTGACACGCAACGTGCTATTATTTCGTAGCGAATCGGAGCAACCTTTATGTAAAATCCTTAAGATTTATAAGAAATTCCTACCTTTCGTTTGTTGATGTAATGCTCTCCAGAAGCCAACAATTTGTCGATGGTTTTAGGATTAGCGAAAACCATAAATGCGAATCCTCTAGAGACGCCGGTATACGGATCGATTTTCACTGTAACGCTTTCGATGTCTCCAAATTTACCAAAATGATCACGCAATTCTTTGTCTGTGGTATTTCTTGATAAACCACCGACGAAGAGCTTACGCTCGTCATCCTTTCCAGGAATTCCAGCGGTCGGCTGTGATGCAGGCTGTTGATTTTGTTGTACATTTGGTTGACTTTGTTGGCTCTGTGATTGTTGATCATTTTCAGAAGCAGCCTGAGCTTGGTTTTGGTAGCACTCAACCGTCGCCATCGTTAAGGTAGTAGGAGAACAATCAAAGTAATTGATTAACTACAGATACGAGATGAAACTTCTTTTGAGATTAATTTGAGCGCCAAAAAACTTTTTGACGATATATAAAAGTTTTACGCTCCGGAAATGATTTACTTTGCACGCGTCTTTACAAGAGCTCCTTAGGAAACCCGGCGCCGGTTACAGTTTATGCAGGAAAGAGTAATTTTCTATTGCATACTATACTCTGAGCCGACTTATTGGCTCTTCCGTTGACCCCCACTAACTGTTTCTCCTCCAATGGTATACTAGATTTCGCCGGAAGCAAGTAAGAGCCCTCTTCTCTTTCAGGATTAATTATAGAAATATCACATCATTTGTATAGCCTCGTAGAAGAGAAAAGTTGAAAGTTTGTTTATATGCATAGTTTTCAACAAATGCGAGCGTTAAACCATTCACCTCGTCATCGCAATTAGTAGTTTCTTTCATCCTCCATCTTTGTGCTTTATAACAAAGACGGACTTTCATTAGACCTTGAAAGAAAGAGAGAAAGAGAGAGAAAAAAGGCATCCATTGTTTGGTTTCCACCTTTATTCCGTATAAACATAAAATTCTCTATTTTTTTACAGCATCACATCCGGTTTCTTCTCTTTCGCGTTTGTGTTTTGTTACTCATTGCCTTGTGCATGCGTTGGAAACGCACCTTCACATTATTTTCCTCCAATACGATTCTACTACTTAGGCGTTACTACCATCAGAGTCCTCTTCTTTGTACTGTCTTATGTCCAGTTCAACCATGACAATCATTTTATTATTTACGTCACGCTCTTCGACCAAGTGGACTTGTTCAATGTGATTCCATTTATTTTCATCAAATAAACACATATTTTACATCGACTGCTTGATATCCAATTGAAAAATCAATATGTTTGTCCATACTTCAAAAATCTTGAAAAAGATTAGAGAAAGAGTCCATTTGTTAAATATATAAATATAGTCACGCCAAGATTATATAAATAAAACTCAGCTCTTCGGTAACCCTACCTTATCCTTTTTTTAGTGTAAGAGTTTAAGAATAGCATAAAGGTTCTATGAGCGTACTGTTAATTATAGGCTATACTTACCTATGTATTTCGATCAAAAATTGACAGTGAGAATCGAGCAATTAAGAAATGTGATTCTCTTTTTTTTGTGTGATTTTTCTATCAATCTTTTATAGGCTTTTCATTCTTCCATATTTCTCCTAATATTTATTTTACCATACCTCGTACACCAATTATCTTGCAATCGAATAACAGTTGGTAGTTTAAGAGTTGCTCCAAGATGGCGTTCAGGTATCTTCATGGTTACGTGTCGTGAAATGTACGTGTTGTGAAATCAGTGATCCCAGAGACTTTAGTTCGTTTGATCGACACAGGGGCGCAAAATTATCGTACGCGGCAGAAAATTATCGTACGCCCCGGGAAAATTTGAAATCGGACAAATCTCGGACAAAATTTTGAAAAAGTCGGAAAAAGTGTCCAAGTTCCTACTTTTTCAAGTTGATGACTCTTTTTTTTAGGTAGAAAACGTTCACTATTCGTTTAGTCTACTCGGCGGTTCGATAGCTCCACGGGAAGATCTTCAAATCAAGAAAAAAAAATTTCTCCTCTGATCGCGCAGCTAATCTCGGCTTCCCTCGGCTTCTTTCGGTTTCCCGACTCACCGAACGTACATTTCACTGTGAAATGTAGCAGCAGTGCTGTCAGATCGTGGGTAAATCTTACCCTCTCCCTGTGCCACTGGGATTGCACACAATGAAAGTTTTCCATGTCCGTGTGTTTGGGATGTCGAGGAAAGCCGAGTGTAACCGAAGTT